AAGGTGATCACTTCAACTAGCACATGGCTATCAATAAAGTGTTCCCTATTTTGTTTCATATTATTAATACTAAAAAATAATAATAATAATAATAACAAGTTCTGTTATTACTCTCACAGGTAACATTGGCTAATTGGCTAATTCGGTGTATCCATACAAATTATAATGGATAAAAAACAGTTAAAGACAGTAAGACGACCGTAAACTGTTGTGTCTTAGTCTTAATGTGCATAAGTGTACAGTAAAAATGTCCAATCTATTACTTGCTGACTTTGTGTCTAGACACTTCTTTTCGTGGCTTTGCATCTCCACAGTTTTCAAGACACTTTATCTTGGATGAATTTCGGTCCAGGTGCATTGTTATTTACATTTAATAAGGGTATTTTTGTTTCATGTCAGAGAAAGGCAGCATTCGTATTTTCATTACCAATAACTTCCTTTTTTTGCTGAGTGCCGTCATGTTTTCGTTGGTGAAGAGACGATAGGAAAATCTTTTAAAATGTCTTAGACTTTTCTACCAAAAAAAATAAATCGGCAATTTAAATTTTCTTTAATTCGCCGAGATGATTGAATGTCATATAGTTCATATCACTTTTTCCAGGCTACTTTCACAACTCTTGTTGCTAGTATATCTATGTTTTTTTTTGTTTTTTTTTTGTGATAGAATGATTATCTATGGATATTTTAGAGAACTGGATTTTTTAAAGGGTAAATAACCTACAACTTATTCCCTATTTTGGGTAGATTTATAAAGAGGATGAAAAAAAATGAGATAGCTGCTCGTAGATTTTAATTGTGTTGTTCAGAGACTGCCTCGGATGCTCAGGGCCAACGCTGTCAACAACAACAACAGCAGCAGTACGCCAGCAGTCACTCACGTCACTTTATAGGTAAAGATGACACCATCCTTATTGTAAGAGTAGTTAGGAACGACTTTCCTTTCCACCTGAAAATAAAAAGACTAATATCATCAACTGACTTTCAAGATTCATTTTTATTTACATTGGATTTTAGAACATTAGTGGTAACTGATTTATACAAGAACTCTGCACACACTCTTGCAAACGCACACCCATACCTTGGTCCATTTGCCCTTCGCCACCAATTGGTCCATGTACGGCTCCAGCTTGTCTTTGTATTCCTCCACGTAGTCTAAATATTCTTTTCTCATCACGATGATCACTTCGCCACCTGTTGAGTAATGTTCTATGCTACACTCAGGGGCGTTAATAGGGGAGTCTTTGCCCCTCCCCCCTCTCCTCTCCGACTGTCCCCCTCAAGGTCTGGCTTGCCTCTCCAAGAACCACTTTTTTTACACCTATATAGGTCTCTAAAATGTCCCTAGAATAGCTAATTTTCTATTTTTTGGTTTGGTTCGCTCACCAAAGCCCTCAAGAAAAAAAGCTGATATGACGCTATATTAATGTTATTTTGATTTCAGGGTATGGTAGATATTTGATTGAATTGATTATATTGTGTCACATTACGCTGTTCTAGTGATAGGTCTTTTAATTCTTAACAACATATATATTTTCTAAGGTGCATCTGCTGCCTCACCTGATTTGGCCATATCGATCATATCGTCGAGTCCTTGGACAGGAATGTGTCCTTCGCCCATTCCACCCGCGACAAGCACCAGGTCATACGTGTCTGCACGGAACGCCAGTATCAGTTTCAAATATAGCAGCTAAGAAATGCCATAATAAAAAGTGCGATGCAATAAAATAATATGAGAATATGGAAACATAAGAGAACAACTCGAGATACAATAACAGGGAGACAGGGAGGAATAGACTCACTCTTAGGAACGGTACTCTGACCCAATCCGACGAACTCGACGTACTTGTTGGTGTATAGGCCACGGGTTCCCAGTTTCTGCATCATGCCCTCGCTAGGATCCAGGGCGTCTATGTTCCTGTTGAGATGCTGGAGTTAGTTAAGAGGTTATCCGAAGCAGCAGGCGTTGTTATGGGTGGCCAGTGGCCTTGCAGAAATATAATCTGTCACCCATGCCTCTCCATCGCCACTTTCTTTTCTTCTTATTCTCCCTCCTTTTTTTTCTTCCTCTTCTTTAGGGTTGGAAGAAGGAATTATTTTCCTGTTATGCTGATTCATGATGACCAGTAACTCACCTGAATCCACGGAGGTGCAATTCGTGACCGACGCGCCCCGTGCCGGCCGCCACGTCCATCACACGCGCGCTCGCCCGCCTCGACTCTTCCACGCGCGACGCCGCTGTCTCCGCGCAGAGCACAGGCCCGTTGTAGATGCCCGGACGAAGTGTCTGAGAGAACACGCTATGCGGTTGGCTTCGATCAAAAGCGAAACAGTTAAGCCAAAAAAGGTTTAGAAATAGCTAATGTTTTGATCTAGCTAAATGATCTTGCCAGCGGTAAAAGTAACGGGAACAGAAGCAGATGTAAATAACATAAATAAAATATAGACTAACCACACTAATAATGATAGTGGTATAAACGGGGCCGTCATTTCACCTTTTCTTGGGGGGAGCAAGGTTGGCGAACGAAGCGAGCACAATCAGATTCTAGCTGCGAGCCCCACAGAAAAAAAAATATATAGTTCTCCTAGAGGCATTTTTAAGCCATGACCAGAGCTTTAATGATGTAATTTAGGAAAAAAAATCGTGGGAGTGTGGTTCTTGGGGCAATTGCAGCCCTCCATGACGCGGCTCGCGAACATTAGGCTTAATCGAACGGCTACTCTCAGGTGTGTAACTAGAAGCCCGGTCGCATATTCACCCACTGTACTCCACTCCCGAGGCGTGGGAGTTGCTTAGCCCTTCAGATCGTCGGGCGCGGCCGCTCTCGCCACTGGTTGCGGGAGTGGAGTACACTATGCCATACAGATCCAGTGGAATGAAAATAATAGTGATGATGATAATTATGACAATGCTAATGACAATAATAACAACAATTATCATCATTATAATGATGATAATACACACTGTTGCAAACACAAAACGTTTCTCGATCAATTACATCTTGCATAATCATCCTTATCGAACTCATATCACCTCTTCTTTGAATACCAGTCCGATCTCTACGAAAATCCTCGTTATCAACCCAGCCACTCATCCTAACGAATTGACTCCATCATCATCATCATCAGTGGCGTAGATAGAGGGGGTTGGGGGGGGCGAAAAACCCACCTATAAGGCTAAACTGCCATTTTGTCGGAAAATTTCTGCACTTGTCAGAAAAATAACGATGGTTTTCTGTTTTATTTAGTTCTAGTGGCCTTATGGTATGTTCAAAATAATAAAAAATGAGAATTAGTGTCAAATTTTTGTCGGGATATCTTCATTTCTCGCCCCCTCTAAGAATTTTCCTATCTACGCTCCTGCCCAAAATTGCCCGAATTCAACCAGCATTTACCCGACTCTGCAGCCCCCCCAGCCCCCCTGGCTCCTACGCTTATGATCATCATCATCATCACCTTTTCACCTTATACGCACCTCGTCGTAGTTCTCCGCCATTTCCGTATAAGCCGATGCCATCTCAGGTCTAGAGATTCCCGGGCGATGGCACCTGTGATTGGCAGCATAGGAATCCAGGAGTTGCTCTGGTACCGAGTCTGCTCCCTCCATCTGCGTGTCGTTAGGGAAGCGTAAGCACGTGATTACTTCTGCTGTGTATGGGCGGGGAAGAGTGATTCGTCCCTCTTTATAAGGTTAACAAGAAACAGGTTAATTGGTAACACTGTATGGAGGGCCGTTGCCAGATTTTCAACCTGTAATCTGTAAT